CGAAGAAAACTTGCGCAGGTCTAAGATGTGCAGAATGATGTTCTCAATAAAACTGCAGTAAGACGAAGATGTTGGAGACGTTGGAATGATGGTATGAAGTGGGAACGAACTTAATTGTCCAAGGCATTTAGTCAGAGCTGTGGTAGCTTCCGATCAGCTGCGAGAAGTGATCCTGTTTTGGCGGTTATGACTATTACCTTTTGTAAAGTTGTTCTGATTTTCATTTGTTAATTCTGTCCTTGCGGGATTTCAGATTGGTTTCATCTCAAAATAAACAACTTTCAAAATTACATTCAAAAGCAAAATTCGCGTCGAGTTTTATGAATTTGTTGGATTTTATTCCTTTTGCTGTGAAGTATGTATTCAAATTTTATTAAGTGGGCAAGTTATCAGCCTATATACCAAAAGCACTCCAAAGCCGAGGAAGACAACGGAAGTGGTGTAATGAACTTCTACAACAGGACTGGGCTTCATTTCTTATATCACGAAGTACAGACGAAGAAAAAAACGGCGATAGATTTCAATCTGTTTTTTAATAATAACATTCTAACAAAGACGGCGCAGACTTACTCAAAAAGTGTAAAATAGAAAAGAGCAAACTCCGTGGCTTTAGTCCGCAAGCTAACTATATAAAATAGTGAAGCTGCAAGTGACTAGTTGCTATCTAAACATGTAGCTGCTCAGTTTATAATATTCCATTAACCGCTGGAATGATACCATGACTAAATCTTTACTGTAACTGACAATAATTACATTGTTATTATGTTGTGTTGTGTGTACAGAAAATATATATTTTTCATATTAAAATATTACGACAGCTGACAATAATGTGTCTGGTAAAGTGTTCTGTTACGTGTACGCATAGTATTAATTCTGTGTATTGTGGCATTAGGATAACGAAAAAATGTTATTGCACTTATTGTTTTGTGCTATGTGCGCCGGCATTATACAAGATGCATATTAAAACGTTACAGTACGCGACAACAATAACGCTGCCATTGTCTCGTGCTATCTGTAACGATAATATACTTATATTCTAATTATTATACACACAACGGAATGTTACAGCATATATTACGTACGCTTCGTCAGGGCTAAATACTCGTACGTTACCAGAAATATAATTAAGATGGTAACAAACCTGAAAGCCTAAATTTAGTCGCTTTTTAGGCTCATTGATTACGTATTAAATATCGTGTTACGTCTTTAGTGGCTAGACACGGGATTTGGATAGTTAATTGGATTTACTGAACACTTACACATCGTAACTACAAGTAACTGTAGCGTTATTGCTAACTCACACACTCTGAAATTCACTACAGCAAGCATTAAGTCTTCTCAGTCCGCTGTGCTTTCACCAGTTGTCTGGTAACGGCTTCCAACGCCGTAAATCCCTCAGCTTCTGTGTTTGGCGACTTCTGTCCTAGCTGGCTGGCGTCTACCTCAAGAATAACTCCGCTACCGCAAAACAGGCTTCTCCCGTTGTTACTCGTGATATAACCTCGGGACGGACCCAAGAGAAAACACCGCTTATTGTGTCACTGCCTAACTTAACCACCAAAGCGGCCTCCGTAGTCTAGAGGTAACGTTCCCACCTCATGACTCGTAGTACGCGGGTTCAAACCCGGCGGAGGTCGTGGAATTTTTAAGGGCGGAAAAATTCAGGGAACAAGTCCTCCGGGAGGGACTTTAAGCCGTGGGTCCCGTGTCGTAGCTTTACGGCACGTAAAAGAACCTCATATCTCCTAAGGAGGTCACTGAGCCAAATTCAAGGACATTTCCCGCCCAACAGTAGTCTCTAACGCCTCTGATAGATGGGGGAAGCATTATAGATACCGCCAAGCCAGTAGAGGCCGAACTCGCTGGCTTGGTCGGGACTGATGGTAAGCACCAGTATCGGTAGGGTATAGAGACTGGTAGAATATCATAGAGGGAAGCACAATAGATCAAACTGGTCGCGGTGCATGGGGAAAACCACCCTCTCTAAATAGCTAACTAACTAACTAACTAACTTAACCACCAAGTGTCACCAATATCCGAGACTTCATACGAGCAGAGGCAGGTAGCAGACTATCTGCGAAAGGCTGCTTTGAGAGGTGCATGCTCAATCCACGCTGTTGTATAAGACTCTAAACCTCAATGACCCGAAATATCCACATCCACGAAATGGACCATTTAAACAAAATGGCTGCTTTGCCCTGCATTTGCATCACTGTCCCTCCTTCTTATCAGATTGGCCTAATTAGAGACCGATGTATCGATTGCGCTTCCTTGTGTAGAAGCTTGGATTGAAAATAGCTTTCATAACCGGTGTTTGTATTCAAATGCTTAATTAGCCTCAGTAGTTCTGTAAAATAACGAGTACGATGTGTTTATACGAGTAGCTGCATGATGGCACTGCATCCGACAAGCACTGTGCGAAGTATCAGCCTGCCATCTGGTTGTGACATAGCAACGGTGCAACACAAACAGCCAAGTCAGACATACCTGTGCAACTAGTGTCACAGGTTTGAGTAGCTTAGCAACACAGTATTAACTTTAGTATCTAAGATACTTGGCCGGTCACGGTAGCCGAGCGGTCTAAGGA